TATTGAAGAAGTATAGAAAGGTGGCATACAGTGACACATGGTAGAGACAAATTGAAGAAGAGATAAATGTGATATTTATGTCACTCTTTGATGTATTTGGTTGGTGTCATTCTTTGTAGTCTCTGCAATGTGTCACTGTATGTTATCCTTATTTGTTTGGTATCACCCTTTGATATATCTCTTTGGTGTCATACTTTTATGTATCTCTTCGGTGTTATATTTTGATGTATCTATTTGGTGTCACTCTTTGCAATCTCTACCATGTGCCACTTGTATGCTACCTATCCGTATTTTGTTAATAAAGGGATAAAATAGGGGGGGAGAGAGAGTAACAGTATCTTGAATACATAGGGGACAAAAAGAGTTTAAGAGAGAAAATATGGGGAAAGAATGGGAGTAGAGTGAGAGAGAGCGAGCGAGAGAGAGAAAATAAGAGAGTAACAGTAGGAGAAAATATGGAGAGAGAGAGAGAGAGAGAGTATAAGAATAAATGTTCAAAATTCAAATAACTGATAAAATTAAATCAAATTTTTACATATTTGAAAAGAAAATAACTGTCAATCAATTATGCATTGTTTAAGAAAGGGTAATTACGTAGTACAAGAAAAAAATAAACTAAATTGTATACCTAATAACAAAAAATCTATGTATAATAAGACTTGATAACATAAAAATCTGAACTATAAACTTTCTCTCAAATAAGTCTTAGAAAATATACCCACACCTAATTTTCCCATTTTTTTGGTACCATAGAATTCTCCTTATTTACATTGTTATTGACAAACTCTTTGATATATCTCTTATAATCATGTTACCATTTTGCCTTTTTAAATAGAGCGTATGAGTCATCCATTCAAGACGGTTTTTGACTTTTCCCTTTGTTAATTTTTTTGGCCGGCTATAAAGATTATTTTTACCTATGGCCGGCCCCTTGCAATTTGTTAAATTTCTCAACAAAAAAATAAAAGTTGTACCGCCCATAACAACTTTTGAAAGGTGTAAATAATAGACAATCTTATGAAATGACTAATTCCTGGACTCGAACCCATGGCCCATGCGGTATGAGGCGAGTGCTGTACAATATGCTAAAACCATAAGAACTCAATACACAATGTCCAACAAAGAGCGTTTCAAGGCAGATTCATTTGCTGCTCAATGAATATATATGAACAAATTGACATACACAATGTCCAACAAAATCCTTAGCTGAATACACAGACTGGATCAACAAATTGGCATACTACTACATCAACAGTTGCTAGCTATTTATACAACAAACTGTAATCCCCTCCCCAATGCAAATTTACCTAGTATCCATGGCTGAAAGCAACTCTTGGCATATCTCCTTTTTCTTCTTCCTCATTATCCCTTGTGCATCTCCACTATACTTCAATCTATCTCGTATCGGACCTCATGATGCTAACGTCAATATAAACATCACAGGAGCTGCATATATCACTGGAGAAGGGATCCAACTCACCCCAAATGAGCGCGATGTGACATTAGCTCGAAGAATTGATCGGGCCACATACATCCAACCGCTGCACTTATGGGACAACGCTTCAGGGACCATGGCAGACTTCACAACCCATTTCTCTTTTGTAATTGATTCAGGTGGTGATGTTTACTATGGTGATGGGCTAGCTTTCTTCCTGGCTCCTGTCGGTTCCAATATCCCTGAAAGTGCCATAGGTGGTACCCTTGGTCTTGTAGGTTGGAACATGACATCAAACACAAACTCAACTGTGGGTCAATTTGTTGCAGTAGAGTTTGATACTTATCAGAATACTTGGGATCCCTCTTTCACACATGTAGGCATCAATATCAACTCTGTGGAATCTGTTTCTACCGCAATATGGTTGAACAATATTACACAAGGGACAGAAAATGAAGCGTGGATTAGCTATAATTCTAGTTCCAGCAGGCTCACAGTTGTTTTCACCTATTCTTCAAATAATGGAACCCAACCCGCCAGCCTTGACTATGTTGTGAACCTGAGGGATCACCTACCAGAAAGGGTTATTTTTGGATTCTCAGCTACAACGGGAGATCTATTTGAGAGAAATAATATTAAAACATGGGAGTTTAATTCAAATTTACAAGATCAAAATGATTCAAGAAGCCCAACTCCAATCCCAAGTCCAGATCCCAATCTAATCACCGCTGGAAAAGAGAAATATACGAGAGGAATAGTGGTCGGGTTATCTGTGTGTGTTTTGGTTATTTTCGTGTTGGGTTTGCTTGGCTATGGCTTGTTTAAGAAGAGAAAAAGGGAAGAACAAGAAGATCGTGTCTTTGAGTCATCCATGGATGACCAATTTGAAAAGGGTAGTGGACCTAAGAAATTCTCATATGGAGAATTGTTTCGTGCAACGAACAACTTTGCAGAGGAAGAGAAGCTTGGAGAGGGAGGGTTTGGTGGTGTTTATAGAGGTTTCTTGAAGGAGTTAAACTCCTATGTTGCTGTTAAAAGGCAGTGCCGGCCCATGCACTAGGCCATTAAGGCCATTGCCCAGGGACCCAAATGAAACAAAAATTTTGGGACCTCAAATTAAATTTTTATGAATTTTTTGAAAGTTGATATACTTAATTAGATTTATTTGACAAAAAGTACATAGAACAAAGTGTGAGTTAAAAAGACATAAATACCCTTTTTAAGCTCATTTAATTCAAAATTTTTTATCTTTAATGTATCTTGATTCATGTATATTTGTTAATATATATATATATATATATATATTTGAATTATCTTTAATGCACCTTGATTCATGCGTATTTTTTTTTGAAAAGTGATTTTGTTTTCAAATTATATTAAATGCACCTTGATTCAAGTATTTTTTTTTGAAAAATAGTTTTATTTTCAAATTAATTGAATATCCAAATAATATAATAGTATAACAAATACACTGTAAGAAAAACAGTGTTCAATAATTTTGTATATATGGTAACAAATTCAAAACGAAGATGAACTATTTTGAATGAAATTATATGAAACTATATGTTTGACAAAATGTAATAGTACAATATTTTGTGTAAATAGCTTGTTACACTATTATTGTGATATTGTAACATTGTTAGTGTTACACTTTTATTGTTACATTGTTATTGTTACACTTTATATTGTTATACTGTTATTGTAACACTATTTGAATATTAAATTAATTTTAAAATAAAATCACTTTCTAAAAAAAAATGCATGAATCAAGGTGCATTAAAAGATAATTCAAAATTTAGATTAGAGATTTAACAACAAATGTATATATACATACATACATACATAATTATTTGTGTGCATATATATATATATATATATATATATATTAAAGTTCTCTCATAAAACTAGAAGATGTTTAATGCACCACTTTCCAAAGAAAAATGGTGCATTAAATACACATGGATTAATGGAGGGCAAAAATGTCACAATAAAAATAGATAAATTCAAATTATGTACTTGGATACAAATAAGTATCAAAATTAAGTACTTAGTACCTTACATTTTTTAGTGTGTATTTTTTGCCAAATAAGTCTAATTTGATGTACTCTCTTACAATTTACCTAATTTAATACAATTTTATTAGACTTAATTTTTCGATTTAATTTGACTTAATGCATTTTTACCATTAAATTAGTAAGAAAAAATAACATTGAATAAGTTTACTAAAAATCAAATAACTATAATTTATTAAGTGTTAAAATTAGGTCCCTAAATTAAATACAAGTAATAGTATTGTAAAATTTTTAGAATTTCTTACAAAAACATTTAGGGCCTTAAAGTTTGAACTTATGTGTTTTATATTTGCCCAATGTTTATGATATATGAAAAATATGTGTTATCACCTAATAAATATTTTTTCTAACTTATTATCAAAAAAAAAAACTGTATAATATATTGTCTATCAGCTAATAGTTATAAATTATAACTTTATATGTTTTTAGATTAAATTTGAGGTTACTTCAAATTTAGGATAAATTTTTACTTAATAATTTTTTTAAAGCGTATAAAAATGACTATAAAATAAAGTGAATAGAAATATTTCACTATCTAAAACTAATTATAACCATAATTGTCTTATTAAAATTTTTTTGGTTAAAACATTTCGATGGTTCTCTACAATATTAAAACATGTTTCATACCATTTAATTTACACAAATTTTAACTTTTTATTTATTATGAAAAAAAGTCATTTTGTTAGTTAGTTTAAATTTTCATTCTCTTTAATAGAAAATTAACTTAATTATATTTGGTCAAAAATTCGACTTTTGCTAATTGAATTTTAATGTATAAAACTTGAATTTAAAATTTCAATTAATATTTTGAATCTCAAAAAAGAAAAAGAAAAATATATTAAATAATTTAATTTTTGACAATTATTTATATTATTGCAAAATATATTAATAGGGCCTAATTTAAAATTTTTGCCTAGCCCCTCATGTATGCTGGGCCGCCCATGTTAAAAGGATATCGAGTGAGTCTAAACAGGGGATAAAGGAGTATGCCTCAGAGGTAAAGACCATCAGTCGACTCAGACATAGGAATCTGGTGCAGCTTATTGGTTGGTGCCATGAGAGAAGAAAACTTCTACTTGTTTATGACTTCGTGCCCAATGGTAGCTTTAGATACTCATCTTTTCAAAGAAAAAAACTTGTTGACTTGGGTGATGAGGTACAAAATTGCTCAAGGCTTGGCCTTTGGACTACTCTATTTACACGAGGAATGGGAACAATGTGTAGTGCATAGAGATATAAAATCAAACAATGTTATGTTAGATATAAATTTCAATGTAAAATTTGGGGATTTTGGATTAGGTAGGATGATTGATCATGGAAAATGATCTCAAACGACAGTTTTGGCAGGGACCATGGGTTACATGGATCCTGCATGTATCATAACAAGCAAGTCTAACAAGGAATCAAATGTATAAAACTTTGAAATTGTAGCATTGGAATTGGCATGTGGAAGAAAACTCATAAATCCGAATGCCGCAGAAAGTCAAATAAGAATGGTTGAGTGGGTTTGGAACCTTTATGGAATGGATAAGCTTCTTGAAGTAGTTGACCCGAAACTAACTACAGATTTTGATCAGCAAGAAATTGAACATTTGATGATTGTGGGGCTTTGGTGTGCTCACCCAGATCCCACTCACTGGCCTTCAATTAGACAGGCTATTGATGTCCTTAATTTTGAAGCCAAATTGCCCATTCTTCCGTCCCAAATGCCAGTGCCTACATATTCAGCTACCTCAGCACATACGTCTACTTTCTCACAACTGTTGTCCTATGGCAACATTGAGTTTGAGAGCATCCAGGTCCAGTCTTCCAGCTACATTTACAACACTGATTCCTCAAGGGTTACAACATCTTCTGTAGCTTCGTCTCCATCTGCATCGCTTCTGTAGACACAATGGGTAAGTATGAAGAATATGTGTAGCTTTGGTTTACATGTCTCTTAAGGTATTTAATATCTAAAATTTTAATTTTTGAATCAAACAATGTATCTATTTACATTTTCATAAACTAATTAATGGTTGCATAGTTCTCGTGTTTGTAGTTAATTACCATAATAATGAAAATTTTGGGATCTTTAAACTGGAAAGTCCACATATTCAAATTCGGTTTCCAAATGGAGACTCCAACCAACTTCTCCTTAACCACAATTTTTCCTAGCAATTGTCTCCAAGGTGTGACTTTGTAGATCTCTCTTAGGATACCTTCTTTCTCTCTTGTCCACCTCATTTCCCCTTGTCTCCTGCCTTTCATAACAAATAATTCTCCTTGAAAGCAACTTATCACTCGGAGGGGTGTTCACCCTACTCTACAGGTAGGAAATATTGTCTTCCTACTTCTTACTCGATATTTTGCCGAAATTTTTTTTCTTGGCTACCCTACCCGATCAGGTGTGGTATTCTTACCCAACTTCCTATCCGAATAATCGGGTAGGAAATCGGGTAAATATTTTTGTAGTTATTAATTTTTGGATCATTTTAACAATTTAATTAAATAACATGCACTAATTTAACAATACAATAAATCAATAACACTAAAACTTAAAACAACTACAACAACAATTATAATAAAATATAAGAAAGTATGAACATCAATCCATCATAATTATTACACAAATACAAACAATTATTTTAAGTTTAAACCATATGAAATACATTAAAATCATAATTACTCAAATAGTTCACCACAAATCATGAAACATACACAAAAAACAAGTCCATATTTTCGTAACTCAAACATCCATAATAATAACAATGTTATAATATAAATTATACCAAACAAATACTCTTATAATTACTAAAAAAATATAAAAAAAAATTAAATAAATTTTTTGCGGGTAGAGTAGGGTAGGAATGTGAAAATTAATGAGTATTCTATATTCTTACCCGATTTTTGCGACTAACCGTTCCGTAGGATCGAATAAGATAAAAAATTGTGACCAATCAAAAATTTAAACACCCCTACTTATAACAGTCAGTGGGTGATCCCAAGGATCTTTCAACATGCTAAGATCTACTTTTGATAAAAGGTAGACAACGTTTGACACTATTAGTCACTGCTAAAACAAGTAGAAATTAGAGTTTCTTGGGAGAACAAAATATTTGTTGTGGTGGGGACCTGGCCACAGAGCTCATAAGTGTATCATTATGGGTTGGGCTAGCTAGGGAACAAATAACTGCAGTCTGGAATTAGCATGTGAAAGAAAATTCATTCATCACCAGGCCAAGAAAGTTAAATAAGAAGAGTCCAAGTGGTTTGACGCCTTATGCATTGTGAAAGCTTACCAAAGCAGCAGACCTCCGAGTATAAACATATTCGGTAATGGAACCGACGCAACACTTGAAAATTGTTAGGCATTGATATGTACATCCAGATAGCAATCCCTGGCCTATTTTCGGCCAGCAATGCGTGTTTTTGACTTAAATTTGAAGCTCCATTGGGCATTGACTACTCTTCGTCCCAGATGTTCATGCCAACTAATTTTGTTTCCCTATTAGTACATCTCATTTTTAATTCACAAAGTGGTCCTTATTTTCTGAGTGCAGCTAAATCTAGTCTTCAAGTTATGTTCACGATGACATCTATCAATTTTCACATCATCTTGTGCAGCTTCTTTTCTATGTGCATCCCTTTTGAAAGCATGATAAGTTGACATAAAGGGTCCCTAAGATTGTCATGTATTTGAGGGGTAATAATAAACTACAGGAATGTTTTACTTTTACTTACAGGAATTTGAATGTATCCTGAACCAACTAGCTCACCCCTACAAAAGAGGTTCTAGGTAGCAAATGCAGAGTTGGTGAGCAAAACTGCCCTCATCCTAGTTCTGCTATGAAGGCACAGCTTGGGGTGCATCCCAGTTCCAACTCCTACTAGGAATCTACAAATAATCGAGGAGGTGAAGAAGTATATGGAAAGAGATCCCACCAAGTCCAGCACAGACCCACTTTATTTTCTTCTAGGATATCTTCTACTTATTCAGTAGATAATCCTCAAGTAAAAAGGTTAATTTTACATGATTAAAGTATGTCATACGAGCCAACCCAACGTAACAAGCCTTCATTAGACCAGGACCAGAAAGGCTCCATCTAGAATGGATTACTTGAACGCTGTAACACCTAGTACTCAAACATTGGCTCAAGAAACCTGAAAAGACGTGATCACCTTACAACCTTGAACTAATAATCAACTTTTGGGCTAACCTAGCCTCCTCCACCCCTCGGGACCAACAAGAGGTAGTTGGCACAATGATTAAGTGAAATAGCTGCCCATCAGAGACCCAATTTTTTGCCATTAACAGTAGCAATAATGATCAATACTTCAGTTTTATGCAATCTTTCCTTTAGGTTCTATATCAGTGAGTAAAGGTTTTTTCATATCCTTCTTCTCTTGGTTACGATTTTATCATTAGTTTCTTAGTCTTAACACATAACAGAATGTGTGACTCAACAAAGTCAATGTAGCACACAGGATAGGAACTTAAACTGCTTGGGTAGGATAATAGGATTACACTTTCCAAAGCATAATCCAACCTAATTCATCAAGGTTAACATCAACTTGACCCGGTTGCCCAAAATCCAATGCAACATCAACAGAATATAGAAATGGATCACATTTAACCTTATTAAGGATGAATCCGACTAGGTTATCGGAAAATTTTACTGTTCCTCCTTTTTTCATCCAATGGCACAACATGACACACCGAAGTTTCTTTAGTTTATAATTTCGTTTTATTTTTTCTAATTTTCAAGATCAACAATTACAAATAAATCATGACAAAATCTACAATTCCTTCGGTTTTGTTATCAAAAAATCACATTTCCATACTAGAGTCTTCTCCTTTTTAAGGACAGTATTAAGAAAAAACAGAGTATTATCATACAAGATGAAGAACAAATTGGTCAGGAATAAGAACAAACATAATCAAGTCATGTTGTGATCGTGCAGCAATTATGGTGAATAGTAAGGAATCAAACAATTAAGAAAACAAGAGAAAATAACACACAGAGATTTACGTGGTTCGGTAATGTGCCTACATCCACGAGAGCGGGCGGCCGTTCTTTTTCATTATTAAAAGTAGGGTTACATCTTAAGTATTTATATAACCCTAATACGGACGTATTTATAAAAATACCCCTGTTCCGCCTGCTCCGGCATCTACCTCCTTGCCATTGTGCACACAGTAAATATGAGCCACACATACTCTAACAATCTCCACCTTGGCAAATATTCACCCCTTAGGAGAAAAAAAAAAGGACATGTATTCGGGAACTCCACTAGGGATGCTAAGTTGAGGCATCTCCCATGTACCAACTAAAGACATTAATCAAGTCTAAGCATTGCTTGAACTTGTCTGTAGTAACAGGCTTTGTCAACATGTCTGCTGCATTCTCAGAAGTGTAAACTTTCTCAAGTAATAGTTCATTAGAAGAAACCAGTTCCCTGATCTTATGAAACCTCACATCTATATGTTTGGTCCTCGCATGATACACCTGGTTCTTTGCCAAATAAATGGCACTCTGACTGTCACAATGCAATTGAACTCCATTTTGCTGGGCACCCAGCTCCTTGACTAAACCTGTAAGCCACAAAGCCTCTTTGGCAGCCTCAGCTACTGCCATATACTCTGATTCAGTAGTAGATAGTGCAACTATAGGCTGTACCATGGACTTCCAATAGATAGGTCCTCCCACATGAGTAAACACATAACCTGTGGTAGACCTCATGTCATCCAAGTCCCCTACATAGTCTGTATCCACATATCCCATAACTGAAGGGTCACTCTGTTGTCTGCTAAACATGATGTCATAGTCTGTAGTGCCCCTCAAGTATCTGAAAATTCACTTGACTGCATCCCAATGCTGTCGACCCGGATTTGAAAGAAACTTGTTAACCACGCTGACAGCTTGTGCCAAATCTGGTCTTGTACAAACCATAGCATACATCAAACACCCCACTGCACTAGCATATGAGACCTTTGACATGTCATGAACTTCATCATCTGTCTTCGGGCACTGAGCGGTAGACAATCTGAAATGATTCGCCAAAGGTGTACTGACTGATTTTGCATAACTCATGATGAACCTGTCCAACACTTTCTCAACATAGCTATGCTGAGATAACCATAATCTCTTGGAAGCTCTGTCCCTGCGAATCCCAAGAATCTTCTTGGCCGCACCCAAATCCTTCATGTCAAATTCTCTACTCAACAAAGTCTTCAGCTTGTTGACCTCACCCATACTCTTGGCAACAATCAACATATCATCCACATAAAGTAGCAGAAAAATAAATGAATCATCATCAAGCCTATTTACATAGACACAACAATCATACTCACAGCTTTTGTAGCCAATTCGGATCGTGTAAGAGTCAAATCGCTTGTACCACTGTCTCGGAGACTGCTTCAGCCCATAAAGTGATTTCTTCAAATTACAGACCCAATGTTCCTCTCCAGGGAGACTGAACCCTTTTGGCTGTACCATGTAAATCCGTTCCTCCAAGTCGCCATGAAGGAAAACTGTCTTTACATCCATCTGCTCCAACTGCATATCTGAATGTGCTACTAGTGCCAACACTGTCTTGATGGAAGTGTGTCTGACCACGGGGAGAAGATTTCATCATAGTCAACCCCTTTTCTCTGTGAGTAACCCTTTGCTACTAGACGAGCCTTGAATTTTTCTCCCTCCTTTTCTGATACTGATTCTTTCTTCTTATACACCCATTTGCACCCTATTGCTCTCTTCTCCTCGGGAAGCTCCACCAACTCCCACGTCTGGTTCTTATGCAGAGACTCCATCTCCTCCACCATAGCACCCATCCATCTACTTTTCTCTTGGCTTTGTACTGCCTCTTGAAAAGTTGTAGGATCCCTGCTACTAGTAATAAGCGCATA